ATCGTTGTGCTTGATAATATATTGTACCACCTTTTTAACTTCTTCTTCTGATACGTTACCACACTGCATACGTTCTGGTTTATTCATATCTGAGCCTTGGAATAGGGTATCTCCTTTGCCGAGCAGTGCTTCAGCTCCTGGTCCATCCAGAATAGTTCGAGAGTCGATCTGTGATGCTACTTGTAGTGCCAGACGAGATGGTACATTTGCCTTGATAAGTCCGGTAATAACGTTTACTGATGGACGCTGAGTCGAGAGGATCAGGTGGATTCCTACTGCTCGGGACATCTGAGCGAGTCGTACAATACCTGCCTCCAGTTCTCGTGGATATGCCTGCATAATATCTGCCAACTCATCGATAATTACTACAATATAGGGCATTTTTTCAGGTTTGTCTGGATACCCCTCCAATTCCTCGCCTTCGTGCTCCTCATACCATGGACGCATAATATTATCATGATATGAAAGGATATCACGCACACTGTGTCCCTCGAGGATATCATAACGTCGTTCCATTTCCTTTGCAGCCCAGCGTAGTGCCATGATAGCCTTTTTAGGTTCTTTGATTACGGGAGTCAGCAAGTGGGGGATATTGTTATACAGGGTGAGCTCTACACGTTTAGGGTCCACCATGATCAGGCGTAGTTCGTCAGGACTGTTACGATACAGCAGTGACAATATAATATTGTGCACGGTTACTGATTTACCAGACCCGGTCGTTCCCGCAATTAACAAGTGCGGCATTTTAGCCAAGTCCTTGAAATACGCTCTTCCAGTGACTCCTTTACCCAGAGCTACTAACAGGTTTTTCTCAGATCCTTGATATTCTTTTTCCTCCAGGAGTGATCCCAGCCCCACTGATGATTTTACGGTATTAGGGATTTCAATTCCTACGAGCGATTTACCAGGGATTGGGGCTTCGATACGTATAGGATGAGCAGCCAGCGAGAGCGCCAAGTCTTGTTTCAACGCGACAATACGTGATAACTTGATCCCTTCGGCAGGTTTCATGGCATAGCGTGTTACCGTCGGACCAATTGATACCTCATCCATCTCTACCTCAATACCAAAGTTCTGCAGAGTTCGCTTGATGAGGTTTGCCTGAGCCTTGATATCTCCCACAGCTGGTTTACCGGCGGATTTGCCCAGGATAGAAAGCGGGGGATATGCGTATTCTGCATTGGTATCTTTAAATGATACCTCCATTTCATCATCTTCAACCTTTTTAACCTTTTCTGCTTTTACAGGTTTTTGTTTTTCAGTTTTTTCTGGAGCTATTTCTTCCTCCTCTTCAGCTTCCTCGTCTTCTGGTTCGTATTCTTCTAATTCATCCCAAGGTATTGTTGTAGAGTCTTCTGGTTTATTACTTGACTGTGATTCATCACGC